TGAGAGAGAGTGGGCACCTCCCAGAACGTTGTATTGTGCCACTCCCAACAGAAATAACCCAGGTGGATAGCTTCAGCAATCAGGGGCTGCTCAGTTGCTCATACAAAATCCCACCTTGGAGTTTACAAAGACTTATGGGTAGAAAAGCCACACTAAGTAATTTACTACACCGCAACTGTATACACACATTTTTATAATATTATGGAAATTATGTATATCGCCCTGCTGCTGCATACTGAAGTTTGATGGGTGTCTTGAGGAAAGCACCTATGATTGTTGTAAAGCTGAGCTAGTTGCTTCTTCATAACTCATGGTTTTTGCTTGAAAGAACAGACTATCTGTGGTTATTAAGACTTGAACATCTGGCAGACATTTCTTCCAAAGTAAGTAAAATGAACCTGTCACTTTAGGAAAAATAACTGACAATATTTGTAGCCAGTAATAAAATTTAAACTTTCAAGTGAAAACTAGACACTTTTATCTCCCCTGTGAGTTTGACAGTGTCCCAGTGCTTATTTATGAGATCAGTATTGATATTAATAAATATAATTTTTCTGTGTGTAGTGAAATGTGTCAATAATGGAAAATCTGCATAACGCAAAGAAACAATATTTTATAAATGACTAATGCATAATTTTACAAAATCACGTATAGTATAAGATTCATTCAAAGTAGAAGATAGAATAATGGATTTTAATGTAACCTTTGTGGTATAAACTAGGATGGACTTGGCAAACTCTCTCTTAAAGGCCTAAGCTATTAAATATTTTAGGTTTTGTGGGCCATCTGGTCTCTGCAACTACTCAGCTTTGCTGCTGAAGTGTGAAAACAGGAAATGAATGGGTTGACTGTGTCCCAATAAAACTTTATTTGTGTATAGTCTGCTAACCCCTAGTCTAGACAGTAACTATTATTATGGCTTTATTATCATGTGGAGATAGCTATTTCAAGTTCCAAACAGCTGACTCACAAATGAATTATTATTTTTTAAATGAACTTTTAAAGTGCCTCATGCTCATTAGTTTGGGGACTGTCTATATATGAACGTTAATTTTCTACTGTCATTATAAAATTGGTGATTATTTTTTATTAGCTTTCTAAAAAATAACTTGATCTTGAGCACTGGAGGATTTAATATTTGGAGTTTTGGCTGACCTGGATAATTGTCTTTTACATGTATTTTGTAATATTGCTCATAAACAAATTATTTATCAAGTTGAACATGAAGGTCTATTCTGCCCAATATATGAGAAAAAATAGGTAAAATGGCTCATTATAGTTTTTATATGAATTACATGTTGATATATTATTAAAATTAGTTTCACCTGATTTTACGTTTTTAAATATAGCTTGTAGAAAATTTTAAATTACAGTATATGGTTTGCACATACATTTTTGTATTATATTTCTGCATTACTGATTTAGGTTGCTTCAAACTTAGTCTCACATTTTCTTTTACACTTTATTCAGCTTGTTCTAAAAAAATCATTTGAGATCCTTACTTCGTAATTGGGTTGGGAGTATAGAGTTGATTCATATTTCACAATACATTATTATAAATTGTTAAATTTTATCGTGTGTGTCTACAAAAGGGAATAGTAGAGTTATACTAAAATGATAGGACTGTGGGTAGTTTTTAATATAGTTTTGAATGTAAGCATGTGATAATCTGATTTTATTTTTATTTATTTTTGGTATGTAGCTTGTAGACCCTGGAGTTAAAGCATGGACACCCACTAAAGGAAAACAGAATGTAATCATGTTTGTTGGATTGCAAGGGAGTGGTAAAACAACAACATGTTCAAAGGTAAGTCATGCTCAATTAAAAAACAAAGTAATGGAGAAGATATGTTTGTATAAATCAAATTTTATGTTAAAGCCAAGCTTTACAATATTATTGCTTTAAAATTTTGTGTTACTTGGTATATCTATTATGTTTCTGTAGTAACTTTCTGTAGGATAAGGAAAGAAAAATCACATAGTCTTTTGTGATTATTTTTTGTAAGAATGGTAAACCAGTATATAATTCTTTTATCAAAAAAAACTGTTACTGTCTTTTAAGGAGGTAAGTAAGTATATAATTTTTGGAGAAGAGAATATGAAAACTATAACATGTTTGGCTAAAGACTTCCTTCTTTTCAAGTTTTCAGTGTTCCACTCAGCATAATAAAGATCTTCATTATGCATATCCTTAGGTTAATTTTTAATTTATTATACCATCATTTGCCCCAGAATTGGGTGCTTCAACTTTGTTACTAGATTTTCCCCCCCACAGACATCAACTGTATTATAGTTAATAAAGAAAAAGGACAAGTTTATTTCTTAGATTTTTTTTTTTTTTTTTACCTAATTAACATTAACAGTAGTTAACATTTTAATCTTCCTTTCTAGTTAGCATATTATTACCAGAGGAAAGGTTGGAAGACTTGTTTGATATGTGCAGACACATTCAGAGCAGGTAATACATTGGAATTTGAAAATTGTTTTCTGTGCTTTTTGTTTTCAAGTTTGAGGATTCATTAACTCTTTATCACCTAGGGGCTTTTGATCAACTAAAACAGAATGCAACCAAGGCAAGAATTCCGTTCTATGGAAGGTAGGTTTCTGATTTTTATTTTGATACTCATATGGCTCATTTTGTCTGTCTGACTTTTTATTTTATATTCTCTGGTCACATTTTAATATATACTTATAAGATTAAATCCTTTCTGGAACAAAGTGGGAATATGATGAATAAATAATTCTTTTCTAATGTGACCTTCTGATCCAGTTTGATAGATGAGAGTAGACAGTGTTTAGCTCATAACTTTGTACTTACCTTGCTTTCCTATCCCCTTCTGTCTCTCTATTCCTATTGTTTCTTTAAGACCTATCTGAAGCCTTCCTCCATTAAACATATTCATGAATTCCATATTGTTTCTTAGTATCATTTAAAAAATTTTTGTGTTTGATTATTTAAAAATGAGTTATAATTTGCAGTTATTTTATCAGAGATTTTGATTATTACTATCCCTTGTATAATATATTGAATTTAGGAGGACTTATTTGAAGGAATAGCACTTTTCTTAACATTAAAGTAAATGATTTATTATACCCTCAGGAAGAAAGTTTAAAGAAAATAATTTTGAGATATTTACACAAATGATCTGATTTTGTTATTATTCACTTTCTACTTTTCACCTGGCCAGAAAAGTTAATAAACTTTGTTTATGATATATTCTTCTTAATTTTTTTTCTTTTGGTCATTTTTATGATAATTTCTAGCAGACAGATTGAAGAATAATGCTATGCAATTTTTTTTTGATAAAACTAGTTGCTGTCAAGTCAATTATGATTGATGGTGAACCTTTGTCAGAATAGAACTATGCTCCACGGGATTTTCAATGACTTATTTTTTTGAAGTAGCTCTTCATGCCTTTTTTAGGGCACCTGTGGGTAGATTCCAACCCCCAACCTTTCAGTTAGCAGCCAGGCATGTTAGCTGTTTGTAGCACCCAGGAGCAACCTTTTAGGATAAGAACTGTTTCTGTTGTGGTTTTCAAACTCAGGGGATAATCAATTTGTAAATGACATAATTTTGTTGATAATTATTAGAACTGTTGGCTAGGGCTTCAATTTTTTTTTTTTTTTTTAATTGTGATTTGAGTGAAGATTTACAGAGCAAATTCACTCTCGATACAGCAGTTCACATATACTTTGTCTCATGTCATTGACCACAGTTTACCACAATGCAACAGCTCCCTTCCAACTTCCTCCCCATCGTACCACTTCCCAGTGTCCATCCCTCCATACTCTCCTGTAGGGCATCAATTTTTAACTGGTGTTCTCAATAGCATTTATTGAATAATCTCTCCTTTGCTCATGGAAACATAAAAGCATGCTGTCTATACAGGGTACGGTATTAATAATCATGGCTAGCTCTGGTAGTGTAGTGCCTAAGGCACTTGACTGCTAACCAGAAGGCTCAGGTTCAAACCCATCCGCCACTCCTTGGAAGGAAGGTTGGGCAGTCTACTTCTGTAGTGATACCGCCTTGGAAACCCAAGGAGGGGTCGCTATGAGTCAGGTCCAACTCGATGGCACATAACAACAGCAACAATGTCTCTAGAAGGGAGGAAGGGAATGGGACTGGGGATGAACTTGAGCTATTATCTCTAATGTTAAATTTACAAATCTGGAATATGCGTTAACGTATCAATGTTTATTCTTTTGTGCAGTGGATACAAGTTTGTTTGTTATCTTTCCTGTCTTTATAAAAATCACAATATTTTAAAGAAAAAATTGAGAGCACCAGCAGTCTTACTTCCCAGTTACCAGTTTTGAGCATGTCCATCTATGCTCTTTTCAATATCTATACAAATAGTCACACAGATACATACATATAGATATATTATTTAAAATGGAATCTTACAATGCCATGTATGGCTGTATGGGTTGTGTCAAAACTCTTCAAATTGAACACTCAAAATGGTGCATTTTGTTGTGTATAAATATACTGCTTTAGGTTTGTGGTGGTTATGTTTTTGTTTCAACTTGGCTGGGCCTGGTTGAGTGGCTGGGCAGCTGGATGTAGTATTCCCCATGATGAGATTAGTAATCAGCTCCATGGTGGAATCTACTGTGAGCAGCTGAGTAGCTTCCTTTGGGTATGTGATCTGCTTCACATATATAAGAAGCAGCTTTGGGAATGGTCTCTAGCCTATGGCATGCTTGGACCCTGCATGTAGCTGTGTCGTTGCTCAGCAGCCTGCTATGCTCTGCCGACCTTGGGACTTACAATGGACTGAAGTTAATGGCCTGCTGTGTGGTTTGGTAACATTGGGACTGTGCCTTTTTACTTGTCAACCTTGGGGCTTCTCAGCCTCAGCAGCCAGCAGCTGTCTGAGTGAAGAAATGCCTCTAGCTTCAGTGGGCCGGGAGCAGGAGGCAGAGCTGGATCCCAAGGTTGGGGGGCTTTCACCAGCCCCTAGAGCCTGGCACTTTGAACTTGGACTGAAAGCCTCCAAATTAGAATAACTCCTGTTTGTTAAGGCCATACCATTTGTGGTATATTTCTTGTCAGAACAGCACTAGGTAACCAGAACAAGGTTTGATTGAAAAAATGAGATATTAATCATTTAAAAATGGACAGCGTACTGTTTAAGGTAATTCTTTTTTTTAATGGCATCTTTGTTTTTCATTGTATGTATGTACATAATTGGAGCTCTGGTAGCATAGTGCCTAAGGCACTTGACTGCTAACTGGAATGCTGGCGGTTCAAACCCACTAGCCACTCCTCGGAAGGAAGATGGGGTGATCTACTTCCGTAGTGATACTGCCTTGAAAACCCAAGGGGAGGGGTCGCTATGAGTTGGGTCCGACTCAATGGCACATAACAACAACAACAACATGTACATAATTAGTCTCCTTATGAACATCTCTGGCTGTGATTCTTAGCATATTTATAAATTTTATTGTAGTTGTACCTTTATCTATTTTTAAATATCTAGTAATACTAATTTTTGTCTTTTTCAACATTTTCTTGGTTATTCTCACCTGCTTATTTTTTTTGGATAAATTTTAGAATATCAAGCTTCAAAATGAAAAATCTCCCTAAGATATTTATTTGAATTACATTTAAACCAATACTTCAGGGGAGGATTGACATTTTTATTGTATTTGTATAGTGCCATTTAGAAACCTGCCTTGTCTTTTTTGTACAAAAGCTTTATGTCCTTAAGCATAGTAATTTTCTTAATTTAAGTCTCATATTATTTTACTAAGTATATTCCTACCTAGTCTTCTGTTGTTAATTTTGGGAAAAACATTTGGCATTATGTATTTTTTCATTTGACAATGTTCATCTGTATAAAAAGTTGTTATTAGTTAAAAGGAATGACAATTAAAATATGATCTCATTTCTTGATTTTTATGTTTTTCTCAGGGATTGTAAAATAGGAATGAGATTAAACTTTGCTGGAGGACATTTCTTTTAAAAAGCCAAATATTTTAATTTTCATATCGTTTGATCCAAATTCAACTTGTAATAGTGTATCATAACAGAATTTCAAAGAAACAAGCAGTAATTATGTACTATTCATAGTGGCTATATATACATATATATGTGTGTGTGTGTGTGTGTGTGTAGTTTTTTTTAACCATAATTTCTTTTAATCCACACAGTTAAATGCCTTTGCATAGTCAAAACAAAGGTGAACATCTTTCTGATACTCTTTGCCTTCAGCTGAGATCCTTTTGATAACAGCAATGATATCCCTTGTTCTATGTTCTCTTCTGAATCTGACTTGAATTTCTAGCAGTTCCTGTCAATGTATTTCTTCAACCGTTTTTGAATTACTCTTTTTAGCATAATTTTATTTGTTGTGATAATAATGATATTATTCAATAATTTGCACATTATGTTGGACCACCTTTCTTTGGAATGGGCATAATATGGATCTTTCCAGTCCATTGGCCAGGTAGCAGTCTTCTGAATTTCTTGAGTGATCACTTCCAGTGTTGCATACATTTGTTGAAATATCTCAATGTGTATTCCATCAATTCCTGGAGCCGTGTTTTTCTCCCACTCCTTCAGTCAGCTTGGAGTTCTCCCTAAAATACCATCAGTTCTTAGTCATATGCTACCTCCTGAAATGGCTGAACATTGACTAATTTTGTTTGTACAGTGACTCTTCATTCCTTTAATCTTACTTACTTAATTAATTTTAAAAACTGTGCTTTGAATGCAAATTTACAGAGCAAACTTACTTTACAGTCTACAGTTCATGCAGATTTTTCATCTTTTTTTTTACTAGATTTTTTATTTTTTAATGCATTTTGTTTAAATATAATTTATGTACAGTGAAATATACAAAACTAAAGTGACATGGATCAATGCTATTTATTTTTTATTTTTTATTTTTTGCAGTGTTTTCCCTCCCCTCCCCTCCCACGCCTGGCAACCAACAAAGGAAGTTTCCTTCAATATATAAACCTTTCCTTGACCCTCCACAACAATGAACTAATACTATATTTGTCCTGTGATTGACTTATTTCACTCAGCACAATGTCCTCCAAATTCATTCATATTATGTGGTGTTTTGCAGACTCTACATTATTCTTTAGTGCTGCATAGCATTCCATTATGTGTATGTATCACAGTTTGGTCATCCACTCTGATGGACATAGGCTGTTTCCATCTTTTTGCTATTGTAAATAGTGCTGTGATGAACATGATTGTGGGAATATCTGTTCCTGTCCTGGCTCTCACCTCTGTAGGATATATACCCACTAATGGGATTGCTGGGTCAAATAGTATCTCCAATTCCAGCTTTCTAAGAAATTGCCCTGTTGCTTTCCACAGTGGCTATATCACTTCACAGTCCCACCAGCAGTGTATGAGAGTCCCAATTTCTCCACATCCTCACCAACATTTGTTACTTTCTGTCTTGTTGAACATTGCCATCAGTGCTGGGGTGAGACGGTATCTTGCATCTCTATGATGGCCAGTGATTGTGAGCATCTCTTCATGTATCAGCTGGTCACCTGAATGTCCTTCTTGGTGAAGTGTCTATTCGTGTCTTCTGCCCATTTTTCAATTGGACTGTTAATTCCTTT